AAGTCTCTTTTTAAAACTTGTTTTATTAGTTTTAATCTTTTAACTTTATGCATCAAGCAAAAATTTAATTATATGCAACATTCTCTAACTGGAAGAAATTTGTTTAATATTTAAACCTATTTTCTGCACATTCCAGCACATAAAATAAAATATTTTTTGTGTCTTTCAAATAGATGCAAGTAAAACACAGCAGAAAATAAATAAAGTCAAAGACTCAGCGAAAGAAAGAAAGGGCCATGGTAACGGTAATCCAATTACCGTTTTTGCAATAGTAATCCCTTACTTTACTCGTTACTTGAAAAAAGTAATCGGATTACAGTAAAGCGTTACAAGTACCGCGTTACTGCCCATCTCTGTATATATCTATACAAAATCGAAATCCAAAATCCAAATATAGGCATTGTAGGGTCCTAGGACTAGGAATACTAACAATGGTGCTACCTACCTACCTGCCTACTACTACTAATAATAATACATAATATGACTTTTTATGCCAGTCTGTGGAGCATAATCTGTATCTGTTACCTGGGAGTGAAAGGTGGGTGTCTGGTGTCCACACAGAGAACTTTGCCGCTCACAGACAGCAGTGCGACCACATCATCGCCACAACTCACAGCCTCTATCTTCTCTTTGTGTTTCACAAACTCTGCAGATTCACGAGCCACAAACACAGCAGGTGTGAGTGGACACAGTTCGGTTAAATGTAGCAGAGAGTGAACTTGTTAGTGACACCGATACTCACTCTGCCTGCCTCTCGCTCTTCTCCCATCCTCGCTCTCGTTTGTGCGGATAAAAAACGCGTTTCCATTACTTTTAACGAAAGCCAGCACGTTTCGACCTACCGACAGATCCGCGATGTGATGGCTGATGCTTAAATAATGAACTCCATCATCAGTGGTCGTGCTGTCGGTACCGGAGCCGTCTTTCACGTAAAAGCCGCGCTGACAGTCCTCTCCCCAGGAAAACATGTTGTCGTGTGTTTAGGAGCAACAGCTGATCCTCACTGTGTCACTCTGCAGTCTGTCAACAAGAAACGAAACTTACCTGGAAAACAAAACTTAAATACGGTGTGAACAGCGTGACGAAAGGAAACAATAACACGAGTCAGCTGATCAGTTAAAGTAAGGAAAGCGAAAGTGAAACTGATGATAAATATGTCAGACAACGAAAACGAAAATTGTGTAGTTATGTGGGTTTCGTTTCACACGCAGAGAAGGAGGATTCAGGACTGTTAAGGAAGAGTTTGTATTTAAAAAGTGAGTGAAGAAAACTCGAAAATAAATAAATAAATAATAAAAGATCCCAGCAAACTCAGTGGTAAAGAATATGTTTCCGTGGTACAGTGTGGGAAATGTTAATAATGCTGAGAGCTGGGCTCACATTTTTACTTAACAATCTACAAACTACAAACAAACTACAGCACGTACATTATCACGTGAGCGTGAACTGTATTTTATTTGATTATAACTTTTCCAATCCCCCCACTAAGTAGGCTAAATATAGTAAGTAATACAGTTAAGCTAAAGTGTGTTATTATGCTCATTTGTGTTAGTCTTCATACTGTGTAATCATTTTTAACAGGTGGGGTTGCTGTGATCATAGACTGTGTGCCTGAGGTTATTAAGGATTTCAACTTAAATTAAAGTGATACTGAGCCAGGAGCAGGAGAAAATGGAGAGTCTGGAACAATCAGAAGCTTTTTGCTTGCAGGGATTGGTTAAGTACACACTGACGTCATTGTGTGAAACGTTGTCTTTGTTTGATGTGTAGTATCAATGCAGTAGTCATTTGGATATTTGCACTCTGTGGAGGTGGAGAAGTGTAAGACATGCAAATGAGAGCTTGTAAATTAATTCAGGATCAGATATATCGACTGCCATAGAAACAAGGGACGTTTCTTGTTTATACACCACTTCGAATTTAGTCATCACAATTATTAACTCTTTCTTTATTTCACAGCTTGTCTTTTGTTCTTTCTTCCTACCCACACCTCAAATGCCCCTGGCTTGGTTCCCTTGCAACTGCCTGGAAACCAGTGCTATATTAAAGGAGACCTTTTGTACTTTCCCTTGTTTTCTATCACAGATATATTTTCAAAATGCTGGTTCCCCCACCTGAACATAGCCAAAGTTTAAAATAAATGTCTGTATAAATAGCCTTGGCTTGGTATGATGTCAGATAAAGCAGATATGGAGGCTCCACCCACCGACTGCTCAAACGTTTTGTTTGTGGAGGTAGCCAACCAAAAGAAACTTGGTTTAAAATGAAAGGGTTGGATTATTTTGAACACTGTATCATGCAAAGCTACTTTATCAGAGTCTAGGAATAATGCCGTTTATTTTGAAAACAATATTTTTTTCTTCCAACTTTTGACCAATTTCCTTTCCTTGGGCACAGAGGGTCTCTAATCCAGTCTTTTTATCCCACCAGATCCACATGAATCCTAATTAAAACGAGTCCTCCCTCCAGCATCATTAGATTATTTTAAAAGCAAAGCCAGGTTTAAAAAAGTCATTTAAAATGTGTACTTTTCATTCTGGAGTCTCCAAGGTCAACTGGCTTCCCTGCTGCAACAGTGTTCCACAAACAAAACAAAACAACAACCACCCCCTCCTTCCA